TAATTGGCCTTTTGCTTGCGTGGGAGAGAGGGTTGTTAGAGGTGACGTCAATGTTGCGCTGTGGAGCTCTCAGAATTTCAGGTTTCTAACATTTCTATGGGAAGAGGATGCCTACAATTTTGCAACCTGAATTTTGCCTTATCCGTGTGCAAGAGACAGGAGGTCGCGAACTGTGGTATTACATTTTGTGTGTCACACAGAATTTGTCGGCATTCTAAAAGTTTTCAGCTTTCTGGCCCTCTGTTTAACAAGAGAAAAGGACGAAGACAGTATTGTAAACCTAACATTTAACACATCCATATGCGAGAGGCATTTGTATGTAAAAACCAATTTTACGTTTTCAGTCTCATGCATGGACAATAAATATTCTCATAAAAATGCGGCTTCCGTTCTAGTCCGGATAATGAGTTAAATAGGTACCAACAAGGTCACAAACTGGACTTTCACTTGTGCGTACGCGAGACTTAAACGTGATTCAAATTTATATTGTACAAGTCGCACACGGACATTCCTCAAAAAAAGATTCCAGTTTCTCAACTTGACGGGTCTACGAAATCGTTCTTCATCTGAATGGCGATACAGGCGTGTGGAAAAACTGTTTTAAGCCTGCGTGCCTGTGCATGAACCTTTTTATTCAATTTGATACCCGATTTAGCATGATGCCAGTTATTTTCGATTTAAGCTTTGAGCTTTGACTTGCCTGCAGGTACGACATGTCTATGTGGGCAGCAGAATTTCAAATTTTTAGGTCGCACAGGGGCAGAGAATATCGTCACCAAATTTCAACATCATTTGCGATTCTCTGTGATTGCGAAATCACTTTCCAGTTAAAAGTTTTTTACTTTCAAGATTTCGTACATGAGACTTAGGCCCAGCACATATAGGTTGATTTTAGATTTGGGAATTGCAATAGGAACAAGAAAAATAGTTCAGTTTCCTAACCTTTTTGATTGCCGAGTTAAATGTGAATGACAAAATCCGGTGCAAACCCATTCCAATCACCAAAGTAGTTGGACCTTCCATTAGGATAATGCTATGATGGTGAGTTTGAGTGAGGCTCTAGTTTAAAATTTTGACGCTCACTTCCCTACACTGTAAGGGCTCAATAAGTGAGGAAGAGTTGAAAAGCAAAACAAACTTGTAAATCTTTGTAACACGACTGAGCAGAATCAGATACACCACAGTCGAAAAAACCGACGATGAGTCAGTCACATGCAAGACACATCGTTTTGTCACTCACCATACCAGAACAGATACAAGTGAAAGCTTTTCACAGAACAGCGGTCGATAAAACACATCCATTTGTAGAGTTTGGCCCGAAGTTTATAGCGGTAAAAAAAAGGCCTACTGTTTATCACACTCTTCATAATATTATTAACCATAACCCTTTCGATGAAGAGCAGCCGATGAAGTAATTTGGATTCCTTCAGTACAATGGACCACATTTTCAATTTAAACCAACTGGTGAAAGCTTGAAGGAATATTAAACACTTATTTGTCTTATATTCATTAATTACAAAAAAAAAAACATTGGACTGTGTAGAGCTGAATGTTGTGCTACGAGTTCTTGTAAATGGAGAGATTGGCGGAAATTGTATGGGAATTGTTACGGAAGCAAATATAGGATCTATAACCATAAGAATAATAAGTAAGAGAAGGAAAAAGAGTTTTGGTTTTTAGTGTCAGAAACAATATTGGAGAAAGGAAACTACTAAAACAAACTGAAAAACGCATAGGCGGTAGAAAAACTTCGTTCGTACAATACAAAAAATTTTAATCCATTACGTCTTATAAATTATGATGCTAAACAGTAACAGAGTGTTTAGTCAGATAGATAATAGGATGTATATATATATATTCTATTATCGTATATATATATGTATATATATGTATAAGTAATGTCTTGGCTCGCTTTCCAGATCACCCCACTAGTATCATGTGGATGAAACGCCTCCAGAGCAGAGCAGCAGGTTAAGAAAGATGACAAACAAAAAGGCTTGTTGGTTGTTACAGCAAGTCGAGCCACCCCTGTATTCTGCTAATATTTACGACTTTGTTTATGGAGGTAATTCTAACAGATTTTGTCCATGCTGCTTATATCACAGCATGTAGTATTTATATGCACGATAACGTTTTCTCTTTCCTGCTGTCTTTCTCGACTTAAATACCTTTGCAATTCCAGAAAACCACGCCGCTTAGTTTTTGAAACGCTCTTGCATATATGAAAACACAAAACCGCACATTGTGATGACCCATGGTGTGTATGTGTGTGTGTGTGTGTGTGTGTGTGTGTGTGTGTGTGTGTGTGTGTGTGTGTGTG